TATGTGTTTCCTGGCTAACTAGAAAATTTTTTACCTAATAAGAACTTCTATGTTCCCTGGCTAACTAGAAACTCTGCTCCTTGACTAACTAGAAATTCTATGTTCCCTGCTAATTAGAAACTTTGTACCCTGTGTATCTAAAAACTCAGTGTTCCCTGGCTAACTAGAAACTGTTCCCTGCCTGTGTGCTTTCGGTTGCTCCGTGGAGTAGAGATGGGTGGGGTGGGCTGTTGAGGATTAAGCGCCCTGCCTCTAACAAGAATTCTATTAAGGGACCTAATTTTGGGGGGGGGGGGCAATGGACACCGATGTGTTGGACAGAAGAGTGCAGATGTCACAGTCTGTAAAACACAACTCAGGTGCCCAGGGTCTGTTGAGGATGGAATGAGGACGAGGAGGAGAGTAGAGGAGGAGGAGGGGGGGGGGGGGGGGGGAGAGGAGCAGAAGCAGATGACAAGGAAGAAAAATAATAATAATGTTAATTTATCATATTCACATGATATCAATGTGAGACGATACAAAACAAAAACAGACCTCAACATAATCAGGTAATAAATCATGGTTCAACAATCAGTATAAAGTTCACACCCATTTATTATTCACTCATAAATAACGCACAGTTGCACTCAAGGCTACAGAGTCAGCAGTTGTATGACAGAGTCAGCAGTTGTGTGACAGAGTCAGCAGTTGTGTGACAGAGTCAGCAGTTGTGTGACAGAGTCAGCAGTTGTGTGACCAAGTCAGCAGTTGTGTGACAGAGTCAGCAGTTGTGTGACCAAGTCAGCAGTTGTGTGACTAAGTCAGCAGTTGTGTGACCAAGTCAGCAGTTGTGTGACCAAGTCAACAGTTGTGTGACAGAGTCAGCAGTTGTGTGACAGAGACAGCAGTTGGGTGACAGAGTCAGGGTTGGCGGAGAATCTACAAACTAAAAAATACATAAACACAATATTGCTGGCAAAATCTTTTTTTGACACAGTACAAATGATATAAAGTGGTAGATCATGTCATAAAAGTCTCTAGTCACGACCAAATCAGCTCACGAACACAATTTCCGAATATATTTTGACTCTACCCGTGGGGACTGAGCCTCGAGAGGCAGGGGGTAAGAAGTGTTGGTGTTGTGGGTAGTGGGTTCCCCCCCTTACTTCACCCTAGGTCTAGTGAATATCTGTTCACGAAAGGAGCGTCCATTGTGGTGTCAGCCTCTTGACCTAGCAAAACCTCTCTTACCTCAAGACCATTGTGCGTGGCGAAGAGTCACAGCCTCCCCGAGGTAGTCCCGGTAACTGGGGGTGCGAATCCCCAGGCAAAACACAATGGATCTAGAGGAGCAAACCTCGATAATAAACCCGGTGCACCACACCGTACTGCCCCCTGTGGGAGGAAAGGAGCCAGAGGTGTGCTGAACAGTCTTAGGAATGGAAACAAGTATGCTAACCCCCCTGAATACCGGAAATTATCGTGAAGGCACAGGGACTCAGGACGTGACGATCCAGTTGCCCCAACTACTCATGCTTAGGTCATGCTTAGAGACATGAAGAGCTCAGCGAAACCTGCAGGCAATCTGGTGGCGGGGAATGAGCACACTGTGAGCCCCACCTTAGCTACGTGTTAAAGGGAAAGGCAGAAACACAACCCATATTTCCTTTAGAACTGGTACAGGGCATTTCTAGCTGCTGCCCGGGGAGGTAGGTAATCCACAGACACCCCAGCACCACAATGCCACCACAATGCCATGACTCTACCCGTGAACAATGAATGCCTCGGCGCACGAACGGACAAACATCAGTCGACACGTTGGGTATATTTGTCTATCTGAAGTTTAGTCAGGCAAACTGTGTCAATGCAACAACAAAATCACCAACAACGTGCCGAGGGTATCTAGTATACTTATGCTTGTCTGTCATCATTATTGCTTCAATCAGGCATCGACTGTGGAATTGTGGGATTTAGAGTAAAATGACCCCCTCATTCTTGCTCCGAAGAAAGTGAACAGTGTCAGTAAAGGAGCCTCGGCGTATTAGAGTAGAAACAAACGAGGCAATAATAGCTAAACACGGTGATGGTGTTGGTGTTTTCTTTCATCTCGCCAAGTAGTACCATGTGGCTGAATCTACCATCTGTACTATCTCAAAGAACACTGTTGCCTAAAAGACGGCTGGTGTAGGTAATGCAGTGACAATGTTAAGGAAACAACGGTCTCAGGTTATTGCTAGCCACCGAGCCAGCAATCAAACCACTTCCCATGATAACAAGTTATTGCTAGCCACCGAGCCAGCAATCAAACCACTTCCCATGATAACAAGTTATTGCTAGCCACCGAGCCAGCAATCGAACCACTTCCCATGATAACAAGTTATTGCTAGCCACTGAGCCAGCAATCGAACCACTTCCCATGATAACAAGTTATTGCTAGCCACCGAGCCAGCAATCGAACTACTTCTCATGATAAAAAGTTATTGCTAGGCACCGAGCCAGCTATCGAACCAGTTCCCATGATAACAGGTTATTGCTAGGCACCGAGCCAGCTATAGAACCAGTTCCCATGATAACAAGTTATTGCTAGCCACCGAGCCAGCAATCAAACCACTTCCCATGATAACAAGTTATTGCTAGCCACCGAGCCAGCAATCAAATCACTTCCCATGATAACAAGTTATTGCTAGCCACCGAGCCAGCAATCAAACCACTTCCCATGATAACAAGTTATTGTTAGCCACCGAGCCAGCAATCGAACCACTTTCCATGATAACAAGTTATTGCTAGCCACCGAGCCAGCAGCAATCGAACCAGTTCCCAGAATAGGAAGAAAGGGGTGGAAGGGGACAAGGAACTAGAAATACCTAAACAGCTGCCCAATGTTATTACGGAATGGGACTCTTGTTCGAAGTAGTACTCCTCCTCCTCCTCCTCCTCCTCCTCCTCCTCTACCATCTACCAGTGCCAGCAACTATTATAAACACAAAGGTAAAGTTATACTTTATATTTTATATTATACAATTTTGTCACACATAAATCCATTTGTTAAAATAAAGTAAAAAAGCAATGTGTTTCTGGGGCGGGAGAACGGATTAATTAGACTTGCGCCGATTTTAATGATGACAATGGTTTCGGCTGGCGAACATATCGGTTCGCGAACGGGTCAAAGAACGAATAAAGTTCGTGACCGGGGGTAGCACTGTACACCGTACAAACCTAACTAACTTAAACAATCACTGCTGGTTACTGCAGCCGCACTTACGTGGCGGCCAGATGCTCAACCGTCGACCCAAGCGACTAGTGTTCGAATCACACTCAGGTGGATTTCTTCAACAGATGACCTCGTCCACCATGTCGATCCCTTCTAAGATGGAGCAGATAATGTCCTGGGAAGTAAAGGCGGCCGGCGTGATGCTGACCTCTCACCCAGCTAGCGCCGTTTGCACTACAAATATAAGTCATGTCATATGGCCGAGACAGCACTGGTCTTCTGATGCCTCTTCTTCGTTTACCGTGGAAACTGTTGTTGTGACGTTGTTGTGTGGTTTTAAGCTGTCAAATATCCAGCTTTCGGTTGAACATTTCCAGTTTCGACCTTTGACGACCAGGTACCAGATTGGATCCCAGGTGCCAGATTGGATCCCAGGTGCCAGATTGGATCCCAGGTGCCAGATTGGATCCCAGGTGCCAGATTGGATCCCAGGTGCAGACTATTTCACAGCAGGCTGTCCTGTGTCGGTTACGACAGTAGTAACAAGAGCCGACCGTTCAGTGAGCATTGCTCAGCTATTGAGCACAAAATTGTCCAGTCAAATCACGTGGGAGTAGAATCAAAGAATGCTGGGGTTGTTTCTGCAATCTCCTGTAAAGAAGACTTGGCTTAACCTCCAAGTAGCAAACAAGATTAGAATACGTTCAACAATATGTGAGAAAATCATTATATTATTTTATATCATTATACCCAGCCTATAATGAAGCCGGTCACTATTTAACCAACCATAGGGTGGCCCCCGTATAACTGTGTACAACAGAGCTGCTGACTGAAACACGGAGTCATAGTTTAGTCACAATTCGCAAAACTTTTCACTAACTTTGGAAGATAAGAATAAAAGTACTAAATGATCTAGAAATCCGAGTGTTGGGGTGGAGGTGGGATAGACCCGACGTTTCTCTAACTAACATGTCATATCCCCTCTAAGCATGTCGTAAGAGTCTTCTAAGTAGAGGTTGTCTTCAAAGTCGTAGAGAATCTGATTGAGAGGTAAGAAACCAGTAGTCTGCATATAAAAAAGCCAGATCTGTAAAATGGATGTGCATGCAAAATTCACGTACTGGAGCAAAACTAAAGTCCACAGGTGGACAAAAAAACCACAACTTGATGTCGGAGTTTACAGCTGGTGAACGCGAAGAACGAGGAATAAAAGGAAAACAGATTCTGTCAGATCCATTATTCTGTCAATCCACTTCATACACTCATGATTTTTTTTTTAAAAATCATAAATTGTACTGACTCTTGCCACCAGTTCGACCCAGATTTACATGTGCAGCAGGTAAAGTCCTAAGAAGTAAAGGCGGCCGGCGTAATGTTGACCCCTAGAATGCCGAATGGTTTATAAAATATAGGTACAGTCTGTATGCCCTATGTGCCTGATATCGTGGAAATGGGTACTTGACTGTTACATACACTGTACACGGTCTGGTGACCGCTTTGGCAGATTGCCTTCAATTCTGGGTACTGACTTTCTTTACAGGCCAACCACAATGAAGGGATGCCATAATGCGAAATAGCAAACCATACAAGGGAGTGGGATTTACCGGACTTGATGTCATGGATACAGCCTCGTTTCGACTAGCTCAGGATCTCACATGATTGGCTGGTCTATGTAGGTCATCTTGTAAATATCAGGCACGTAGCAGTTGGGGCTTTGAAAATGAACCTATCCTTGGAAATATCGTCTCTTTATTTGTTATCGTCCCTGTTATCACATATCACGTCGCGATGTTCATTAAGTTTTCTTCTCTCAGTTATCGTCACTGCCATCATCGTCAATATCAAAATTGTCCACACTTGAAGTCTGGTCTCTGTACGAATGATGGCAGTAGGAGTAACAGTCTGGGAACTCGCTGCAACCAACATCGATGTCTTCGTCACTGGAGTCCATACAGTCCTCACTACTGCTGTTCTCTGAATGTTCCTGAGATTCACAATGGGGACTTCCCTTCTCGTGGAAGTTGCGTTTGGCTCCAGATTTACCGACATCTTCCTCCTTCTTGACCTCGTGAGTTTTGATATGTTTGCTGAGGTGGTCGCTTCTCATAAATCTCTTGCCGCAGTCGCTGCACTGAAAGTTCTTCTCCCCAGTGTGTGTTCTCAAATGGCGCTGCAGCTCGTCGGACCTTGTGAATCGTTTCTGGCAGTACAACCATCTGCATATAAACGGACGTTCGCCGGCGTGTCCTCGGAGATGTGCCTTCAGGTGGGATGTTTTTCCGTACTCCTTCCCGCAACCTGGGTAGTGGCATATGTGCATTCGGCGTTTATTGGAAGATGACCCCGGATTGTTTGAGCTGTTCACACAATTAGGGCACCTACACCGTCGACAGCGTCTTGGAGGAGGTCTGTCAAATAGAGCCATGTCCCGGCAAAGGGGCGTCAGCTGCGGGGATAGATACGCGTGAATTCTGGGATTATTTAGAGGAGACACAGGTCGGTATAAGATTGGATGAGTAGGCGGTAGTAAAGTTGGCAGTGCTGACTGGTGAGTGTCGTTTTGGGAATGAATGCTCCACCAATGATGTTCGACTGTGTCTGCAATAAGAGGTGGTGACAACAGATGTCCAGGTTTTTGACCTCCAGATGTTTGAGGGCTTGGTTGGGGTAACGTTGGAGAAGACGAAGAGGAAAATGGTGTGGCTCCAGGCGAAGCACAGGATACTCTCACTGGCTGTTGCAGCATCAGCCGGACTGGAATAGGAACTGCAGGAGACATTGCGTGTCGACCTGGAAAAGAAACTAAAGCACTTCTCATGCTGCCTGATGGACCACACGGAAATTCTTGATGTTGTTGTCGGTAGTGGTGCTGCTGCTGCTGCTGCTGTAAATGTTGATGATGATAATGTTGTTCTTTCTCAAACAAAGCTTGATTTTGCTGCCGTGCTTGAATAGTCAACTTTTGTTGGTTCAATGAGAGCTGGACTGATTGTTGATGTTTTGTGGCCTGGAAGAAGCCTCTGTCACTGTCTCTGCTTTTGTGGCTCTGCCTATAGAATTCCAGATCTAAGGGCAGCATCGGTAACCCACGCTGCTGCTGCTGCTGCTGCTGTAGTAAGGTTGCTTTCATCATCTCCTGCCGGTGGTGCTGTAGCTGTGTCACTGTTAAGTTGACAGTGCTTTCGCTAGCTCTTCCTACCAATCCACCACATAATAGGACACTTTCATGTGCCTGCATCGAAGAATACACAACGTTTTGATTGGTCAAATTATTTGGCCACGCCCAGTGAAGATCTGATTGGATAAATGCCTGATGCGGGTTTGGGATTGGCTTATGAATTGGAGATAACATTGCTTGCATGTTTCCCCTGTGTCTGAAAATAAAAAAAATTACAAAAGGAAAATTAGATCACAGAAAACACAAGCAGAATAATTTTTTTTTCTGACACTAAATGTCAGACAGTGCACACTACAGAAACAACTAAGGTGAAACAAATAAGCTAACCCTTTTAACTAAACTAGAAAACACATCAAGGCGTTAATTCTCTAATGTAACGTGTGTGTCATGTGAGTAGTGGTAGACTTACCACCATGTGTGCCCCTTTTCCGCCACAGAGTAGTGTATGTATGCCAGCGACAGGCTGAACGTGAGTAGAAAAATCATGGAATCTTTCCACACCGTCGGAAGTATTGACAAATAGGGCAACCTGGTACTAATCATGTTAGTGTATGCATTATTTCAAAACTGCAAACATCTTATTCAATTTGCGTTTTTTGCGGTATTTGTAGTGTGTGTGTGTGTGTGTGTGTGTGTGTGTGTGTGTGTGTGTTTATATATATAACACAGATACCAGTTCAAGGAGGACAAGCAGCATATGTCAGGTGAACTTCCTGAGACATCAGATTGTCTGGGCGTGTCATAGATGTCATCTCCAGCATTAGTCGTCCGTGAGTTGCGGATTCTTCATTGTATGCCGAATAGGTTGCTTAAAAAATCACCTTGCGTCGCTACACAAATGAACTGATTTTCAAACAATATTCACACATGTGGAAATTATATTTAATTTCTTAGGGCGCATACATTTTTAGTCAAATATCAAATAAATGAGCCGCTTTCATAAAACAGAAGCACCCGTGCAATTGTAAGTTATAAAAATCTCCAGAACGTGGGATATTTAAGGTCACCTGCAAAAATTCGTTTTAAACCGCACGTGCGTTTTAGAGATAATTGTTAAAGTGTGAGCACACGAGCTTTAATACACCTTCGTTGCCACAGATGAACATCTAGCCAGTACACTATCGCAGCCCGCAGCCCTCATTGGTAGTACTAGCTAGCTAACCAACTGTCTCGGCTTAAAAGAAGATGTCAATAATGACGATAGTGAAGATAATGCGGATGATAAAAAAAGAAGATAATAATAATGACGATAGTGAAGATAATGGTGATGATGATGAAAGAAGAAGAAGAAGAAGAAGAAGAAGAAGAAGAAGAAGAAGAAGAAGAAGAAGAAGAAGAAGAAGAAGAAGAAGAAGAAGAAGAAGAAGAAGAAGAAGAAGAAGAAGAAGAAGAAGAAGAAGAAGAAGAAGAAGAAGAAGAAGAAGAAGAAGAACCCAAGAAGAAGAAGAAGAAGAAGAAGAAGAAGAAGAAGAAGAAGAAGTACCCAAGAAGAAAAAGAAGAAGAAGAAGAAGAAGAAGAAGAAGAAGAAGAAGAAGAAGAAGAAGAAGAAGAAGAAGAAGAAGAAGAAGAAGAAGAAGAAGAAGAAGAAGAAGAAGAAGAACCCAAGAAAAAGAAGAAGAACCCAAGAAGAAGAACCCAGAAAGAAGAAGAAGAAAAAGAAGAAGAAGAAGAACCCAAGAAGAAGAAGAAGAAAAAGAAGAAGAAGGAGTACCCAAGAAGAAAAAGAAGAAGAAGAAGAAGAAGAAGAAGAAGAAGAAGAAGAAGAAGAAGAAGAAGAAGAAGAAGAAGAAGAACCCAAGAAGAAGAAGAAGAAAAAGAAGAAGGAGTACCCAAGAAGAAGAATGTTATGTCGCCACCAGTTTTGTTGCTTAATGTTTTTTCATAAAAAATTTGTTTCTGGCATCGTGTCTTCCCTCGTCAACAGCTTTAGAACCGTTGACGTTCCTTATTGAAACCCCGCCTCTTCTCACTCGTATACTTGTTCACGTGTCAACAAACAGCATTCCCACGCCTTTAGAAGAATTTTGCATTTCTGTGTCTAATGTTTTTCTATGCCTTTTTTCTTTCTTATTCTGTGTCTCTTTTAAGCTTCTATTTGATGCTCCGTCGGTAGAGCCTGTTTCATGTTTTGTTCAATCCGTGCGCGCCTCAGATCTCACCGTTTCCTACACACAATCATCAAAGAGTGGCCGGCCCTTTTTCTCCCTGATCGGTGTTGTTTCTTTTCATTTCTTCGTTGTCTTTCTTGAACTTGTTCATACTCTATCAAATCTTGTATTATGTTCTCTGTGCCAGTGCTAACCATTGACTGTCGTCCCTCGGTGTGTGATCCAATCCTATCCTGCACCAAAAAGCCCCGATCAGTAAGCACTGTAGCAAAATTATTGCCCCTTTTAAAAAGAATCCAGTAAAACCTCAGTGACAAGGGGGGATAAACAACAGGAAATATGCCAAGGGAGGTAGACACATGTATAACAGTATCATCTATTCCAGCGGTTTTCAGTTGCTGGTGTTCTGAGTGATATAAACGCGCAGGATATAACACAGACGTACTTCTGATCTCATCATCATCATGTGCTCTGCCAGCTGGCCTAGGCGCTCATGCATCTTCACAGAGCACGATCCCTTGTTGCCTAGAACAGCTCTCATTATATCCCCCCATGCAATTGTTTTTTAAAACATCGCGTCCCCTCCTAGGATGCAATTTTTCGTTATTTTTTGCCGGGGGCCCTGAATATATCTGGGCCACAATCAGTGATGCCACTTTGGATGTTTTACACCCAGATTTAGATGTTTTTCCTTGCATTTAGATAGTAGATGTTTTTCTAGACGTTTTTTTATTTGGAGTTAGATATTTTATAGATTTTTTCTTTCTTTCGGTGTCACGTTAATAATTACTGTGTAAAATATTTACTACAATATTTTTGTTTTGGTCTGGCAGGTACATTGTGACAATTGCGATTACTTGAATTTTGAACTCTCACTGGGGTCAACGCTCAAGTATCTGGTAGTGATTAATTAAAAGCGCGCGTAAATCATACTAACTTTGTTTCAACCGTATCCTCACTGTGCTGACTTTGTGTTTCTTTTTCATGTGATTTAAAAAAAATAATTACTCACCTTCTTATGTGGCTTTCACTTTGAAAAAAAAAAACCTTTCAACATGCCAAAAGTAAAGTATGAGCAACATTTTTGGAAAGAGTGGTTGCGAGATGACAACATTAAAGACTGGGTGATGGCAATTCCTGGGGATGTGACCAAGGTTCGTTGCAAGTGTGAAATTAAAGCGAAAAAACAAGACTTGAAGAGTCATGCAGAGACTAAATAGCATAAAACTGCAGTTCCATTCAAAGATATCACACCACTAACATCTGTCTTCAGAACTACACGGATCAATGAATCATCAAAAAAAATGAAGGATCGGTCGCAATGTTTTCAAGTTGTCACTGCAATTTCAAAATGTGACCATTTGATTGATTTGTTTGAAAACACTATTTCTGACAGTAAAGTTATGGATGATGTGAAAATGCATCGCAGCAAGTGTACACATATTATAAGAAGTACTTTATTTTCTCACTTCGAATAAGATTTAATCAGTGATATTTCTACAAATAAATAATGTATTATTAGACGAATCAAATGATATTTCTGTACTGAAAGTGCTTGGTGTGTGTATTATATTTCAAAGTCAGTGGTGAGGAATTATAGAATATTAGAATATCCCACACACTCAAATATCGTGTAAGGAGAAAATATGTGTGGTATGTGAGAATGTGAATGTTCTGCTTGTGGTTGGGAATGAGATCTGAGGATGGTATTGACTTGCCTATGTACAGTCTATGTTTCGTCAAGCCTGGGTTAGAGTTGGCCAGGATTTATCATACCATGGACGGTCCCCCTGCTATCTTCTGTTGTTTTTCGTCGTCAGGCCCCCATTATTTGACGTGTCCGGACATTGAAGGTCCTGCCAGTGGCTACCCTCCACGCCGCTCTTTGCGTCAGTGAAACATGCTTTGGGCCAGAACTTCTTTTTCACTTTCTATTCTACCTCTTCCGGTGTCGATGGAGATTCTGCGTCTCGCTCTGGTGACCTCGACCATAGACAATCCTGCTGGTATCGAGTTTTCTGATGTTATTCTTCCATCTTTTTCTTGATAAAGCCACAGGAGATATACACATTTCTGACCTAGCTCTGTGTGTAATGTCTCCGTACATTGTTGCCCAAGTTTCTTGTTGCTTTATTTATTCATAAAGAATCGTGCACACATTCGGTTGCATCTGCAAGTTTCTATGCATCTGTCGCATTGTGTTCAATTTGTTCAACATCTTGAATGAAAAACTCGACCGCTTACGTCCGCTGGCAGACATTTAGTAATTCCTAATGCTCCGGTGTTTTCCCTCGCGGGGTGTGCAAAACATGACTACAACTAATACAGCATCATATCATGAGAAATTGTCACTCTTACATCTCGAAGTCCTGAAAGTATTTAGTATGAAAATATCACAACTAACTTAGAGCCAAGGAAGATGGGGCCAGTACTGTCAGCAGATCCTTGTAGATGGCTTGTGTAAGTCAAACTCTGGAGTTAATCAACTTCAACAAAACCAAATAAAGGGGAAACAATTCTGGAGGAGAGACGGTAGCAAAGCATTGGGGGGTCGCTTACACATATTTACAGTCACATATGACATTATCTCCCCCTGGTGACCCGAATCCAGCCAATAGAAGCGTGGATACATAGCCGCTGGGGCCGGCGACTTTATTCCAGCCATTGTGTGGACAATTCAATTTGCAGTCCATTTCAAAAGGATAATACGGCGCTGGATTAGTTCTCCGCCTTGAAATTCTTCGCTAAACAAGGATCGTTAATCAACTCTTTTATCCAGATCGCCACCCTATTTCAGGTCCTCCCTCAGAGCAACGGACGGACTTAAAACATTTTAAGTTTTTCATTTCCAGTTCAAGCACTTGCATTCATCGATCTGATGGGCTTTAGCGCCACATCAAAGAGACAAGAGTTTGTGGGTGACTCGCTGGGTCACAGCTAATTCTGAGACTGTGTGTTTTTATTTGGTCGACTTTGAATGAAGTGGTATAATGCTCGCGGCTGGTATGGAAACGGGACGATGGCTGGCGTTAGGGGGGTTTTGATGAACCGGCTGAAATAATATTGAAAGTAGA